CGTCCCTTCCTCCGCCTGCGCCGAGGGCACAGCTCGTGGCACTGAGGTGGCTTTGGCTTTGCTGCTCTTTGGGGCACAAAAATTCACCATGGCGAAGAAAAGTGATGACAGTAGAGCCTCACCTGGGAAATCCAGAGTGTGAGGGGAGCTGGGAGGGATGGGAATAGGCTGGGGGGGACAGGGGTGCCCATCAAGGCTGGAAAAGCAAGAGGAGAGGGTGAGGTGGGCAAGGACACCAAAGGCTGCTGGAGGCTGCCTGGAAGGTGTGGAGACACAAAGATGCCGTAGCTGGTGGGGCTTCAACCACACCTTGAGAATGCTCCAGAGCAGCCAAGGAAAGTTCCACACGACCTTCCCTGTCCTGAGTGCCTTCTGTCACCTGGAGACCAAAGCAAACCCAGCCTGGGGTCTGGGGGCTCTGCAGGCTCAGGAGGAATACGTGGAACACCTTCAGGGTGTGCTACCTGTGTGTGCACAGCTGGCCAGCTGTGGTGATACTGGTGCAACAGCTGGGCAGCCTGAAGGTGGGGGCTCAGGGTGAGGTGCTGAAATAAGGCCAAGAAGGGATTTGATGGTGCAGGAGTGACGCCAGGGAAATCAGTGGTGAGCCAAGCTGGGATGGAGCACGTGCCAAGAGAGGGAGCAGCCAGGACAGCTGGATGCAGAGATGGGGAGAGGCCTGAACGGACACAGGCTGTGTCTGCCAGCGCCTCCCTCCTTCCCTCATGCCCTCCTGGCTGTGTTTGGCGTGGCCTCGCTCCTGCTGATTCATCAGCTCATTTTGGTGTGTCCAGCTGGAACTGGTGACATCAGCACCTCTGTACTGGGAAAGGTGACTTGGGCTCATCGCCCTCCAAAGGCAGAGCAAGGAGCAGGGATTGCACTTGGATTTAGGCAAAATGTCAAAGTCTGAGATGTAGAAGTGTGGAGAACAAGGCTTTGAGTCAATGAAGAAGCAGGAGTCCATCACCTCTTCCTGAAGCACAAGAGGTTTGTGGTGGGTCAGGGACTGCAGGAATCCCATCTTCTGTGCAGTGTGCTCTGCAGGTGACAGTGGTGATGGTCCCCCGAGGCTGGGATCGGAGGGCACTTCCACACCCTTTCGCTGCCGGGCCCGTGCCGCCCCA